TGACTAGTGAGAATGTTCAGTGTCGCTTTAGATTTAGTGTTAAGCACTTACGTTCTGTAGTCAGGGCATATAATCTCATTAATTCCGTTATTTATCGAAAATACATCACACTTCAGATGAAATTTAACGAGTACCCTGCCTTGATACATAAGAATATCTATTCATAGTTGGACTATACAGTCAGGTACGAAAATGAAATTAAGGAAAGCATTGCTTAACTCAGTACTGAGTTCTATACAGGACTCATTGGGGTACAGGTACATTCAGATAACTAGTCTCGAAAAGGAAGTATTGCACGTCCAGGATGCTACTGCTAGTCACCAAGATCAATACAACATCATGAGTATCCGAAAGTACCGAGGTATCCGAACAGAAGCCCATCGCCTGAAAGAAGTCGAGTAGTTCGACCTTCTATAGCAAAGGGAAAACAAAAGTAGCAAACAATAAAAGACTCAGTAAAAGTTGGTTTGTGATGAAATTTTCATTGCATTAGAACGACAGTGCAACTGTATCCTGTATATTTAATTATACTGCAAATAGACTGATAGTTCCACAGGTACAAAAATAAATGTGATATAAGCGTATAAAAACTGGACGATAAATGCAAGTAAATATCGTTTGATAATTTGAGGTTCACATCCCCGAAATGGTGATGTAAGAGTACCATTTTTGTACACCTTATTAAGATAGTTTGATCTTCTAAGTTTTGACAACCATGTCTACATAACCGCAAAGTACTAGGAAATAAAAAGTAATATAATGCCAGGTGGAATTCAATCAGTGGTGAATCGACCCGAATGTTCTGAAAATGTCTGTAGCTGTCATACTGTTTAAGTTTCACACAAAGATTGAAAGATCGTAAGTTGAGAACTCTCCAGTTTTTGAGTGTGTTAGCTCAATTAAGATTTCTTAGGAAATGGTGTTTTAACCAGCTCACTTTCTGTTTTACGGATAATCTGATTAACCTTTGGACTGAAGTTTTTAATGAAATACTTAAATTTCACCTTCCTACAAAACTTACCATATGTCCAGACTTGATTAACCTATTAATAAGACAATCAAGTAAACGAGTCTTGCCACTGTCTTCAATTAACTCCTTTTGTTCAAAAGTAAGCATGGAACTATCATTATTTCCCGATATGAGGCTCAAATCATTGGTGTCACTGTTCGATGTTTCTATACAAAATAAGTTTGACTGCAGTGATATGGTCCTTCAGTCACTAAAAGTGGATGGTTTACAATCCGGCGTAGAAGCATGAAACCAATATCTAAGCTAATATTTGGTAGCATTACAAATTTAGAATTGTCTAATTTTTTTTGTAGGCTTCTTGTTAATATCTGTTTTTGAGTAACTAACTATGGAGGCACTAGTACCTACTTGGGACTTTCTGTTCATTTTAAAAAATGAAAAAAGATAAAAACATGAAGACGTCATAGTTACAAGTGACTGTTAAAGTGGTATGGCGCGTTGATCTAATCTTGATTAAAATGTTTTATTAAGTTTGTAACTTCATTTATCCAGACTGACCTATGTTTAGTATATGGGTAAAACTTGGGCACTGTGGTAGATTGTCGTTCCATTTTTGTCTGTTTATTAGAAATTTCACATAGTGAAACAGTATCATTTCCTGGATAACGTTTTGGACATAATCTACTGTCCACATTCATATCAGGTAACTCCACAAATTTAGACAAAAGCTCCTCTACAGCTATGCATACAATTATACACAACTACACAATAGAGTGGGATAGAGCGACAGTATTAAAAACTAATTTAGCTGAATGGAAGGAGAGATTGACAACTGAATCCTTTTCTATCAAATCAAGAGTCAATACATGCAATAAAGTGATTCTGCACCTGTCCCAGACATATGGAAAATTTTACTACCTTGTCACCACAAAGAAGGAGAGAAAATTAGGACTGTATAAACTCTGTTTCAAAGTGGTAGAGTTACCTGATATGAATGTGGACAGTAAATTATGTCCAAAACGTTATCCAGGAAATGATACTGTTTCACTATGTGACATTTCTAATAAACAGACAAAATAGGCTGAAGTTTGACTTTTCGTTTTGTAAAAGGATATATTGTCAAATCAATGCAAGTGCACTACCCCAGTATATACTTCAGTGTTAAGGCCAAACCGCTGCTTCTCGAGATCAGACGTTTACGGGCTGCAAATCTCTGCTTTCCATTTTTTGACAAGAAGCACTAGTTCGAATTTCTTGCATACTAGGCTGCTGACCATTTGACTAACAAATGAAAACAAGTAGGAAATCTGGATCCAAAGCTTCAGAAATAGTATCTTCAAGTTTTCAACACTAACTACAAAGCATCGCAGTATCCAGTTACTAAGGCTATTTGAAAAAACTTGTAGTTGCTTCAGAGTTCATTTGGCACTGAACTTAATGACACTACATCAGTTACAATCCAGTGAAAAATTATTTTGAGTCTGCATAATATCAAAACTTTATATCACTGTTTTGGTTGTCAGCACTTTCTTGAATTCTGAGAGCTATTCTGATGAACAGTTAACTGTTGATAAACCAAATTTTTCGAGTGCTTAAAAAAACTTTCTCTTCCAGTTACCTCATATTTCTGGTAAGTGGCAGACAACCGGATTTCTCCTGTCGACATTCACGAGAAGCTGCCGGTTCTTGCAGTATACTGAGTTCATCAAGACACGTCCAGGTATAGCCAATCCAGCAGTTTTTGATTTGTTTTTTAGCAAAGCATCCATGGTATAAGGACTTCGACTACTTAGTGGAATATTCATTATATAGCGATATAGTTAAATAAATTAAAAACGAATAGGCACAAGACGTTTTATAATAACGTGGTAAATATGGAAATCAGATGGTTTTCAAAGCTTAAAATATATCATTCTGGTCCCTTCTCTAGTCATTTTAGAGCCTACGGAAAGCTATTGAGTGGTCTGTCTACCTAAAATGGTGTCTTTATCCCTATCATGTTTACAGATGTCTCTCTTCTCTCACATGACTTTACGTGTATTGACCTCGTTGCAAAAACCTCCTCAAAAGACTTAGAGCATATGGTTGACGTAGTCCTTTTAGATGAAGACATTAGCAAGACGTAGTGTCTTCTGTACACCTTAAATGACAATTCGAGAACTTGTGGTATATATTTCTCAACTTTTAAATTGGAACTATTGCCTGAGGACTGGTTCGCGTTGAAATCTTATCGGACATTGTGAATTTAGACGTTTAAGCGTATTGACGACTTCAATTATTTGAGAAGTCAGAAAAACCCTAATGGGTTGGTAATCGACAAAATTTCAGCAGAAACGACATAGAAGGCTCAATTAGGTTTCATCAATTTATAGCATTGGTAAGATGACTGACTGGATACTAAGGGTCAGATTCACGGTGCAGCAGTTCGCCCTGTCCTATTATTTATGACCATGAAACGTGATTTTTGGGAGACAGAAGTCATAAAGAAAGTTCGAAGTGTCTAACCGCAACTGGCTTGGAAGCACGGACCGTGTATTATGTAACAACGACTTTATTAGTGTGAGAGTTAAACGTAGAGTCATATTATAAAGGGGTAAGTCAGTTGATCATGTCATAAACCTTCATCTATTCGAGTGGCTGAAACACGTTATACAGGCATAGTCACTGACTTACTCAGAATGCAGCGTTAGCTGCAGTAAGTTTAGGTGGCAAAAAAGTTAAAAGTAGCCGGGCTAAAATTTCCCATGAATCTGTGAAGTCTTTGACTGTTACTTTGAGTGGTGCAAGAAAATGCAGGCTTCTTAGTTAGTATCCTTGTGATAACTAAAACCAATTTTGGAGACTCTAGTTGGTACGACTGACAATCGACAGCACTGTGACAGAAGCAAATAAATATATAATATATCCTAACTTTTCATATTTCACCGCGTTAACTGGGTTAACTTCCTCTTATTCCTTTTATGAACTCCTATTATTATGATTGCATTATTTACAGATTGACAGATAACGGTTTTTAATGGTTTTTTCAAAATAATTTTATTCCAGACCACTCATACATTCTTCTTACAGAGGTTTCATAGTATTCTAGTAGATATACTGAATTATCAGATTTCTTATCTATGACTACTGTATGCAGTGGAGACAATAGCCAAAACAAAACCAGAACTAACTGTTGGATACGTTGATAAAAACTAAAATAAACTTAATACCAGGTGAGCCCTTTGAAGCTAATTCAACCTAAGAGCATGAAGATTGTGGAAAGTAATAACTCCATTTAGCCACTTTTTAGTGTGTACAGTGTCTAAAAATAGGTTTAAGGAGAGTTTGCTTAAATTTGCTTTCCACCGAAAACCAAGGTAAGTTATAATATTCATTTCTTTCGCAAATGAGACCGCTCATTAGTGTGACCTCATACTTTCCTGAAATCGAATACACTTACACCAATTAAAGCATACACCACAATGTTTCATAATTCTGGATTTAATTTTGGGTAATGTTATTTAGTTAGAGAATCTAGGACTAGGACAATACATCTCTTCAGTGGTCCTGGGCACCGAGAACCAAATCTTTATAATCAGAAAACTTCGTATATCCTAGTATATCCTGGTTATCAAGACAGTCAAACCAAGGTTTACACTTAAACTCACTGTTTTCTATCTTTCTGTTTTACAGCTACTCTTTGAATTTCTGTAAAATATTCACGCCCCGAAGTGTAACTGTTATAAGCAATTTATTAGCTTAAGAAACGCCTTTTGTTACTGTACACCTATGATTCCCAATAATTATGCTAAAGTACTTGTATTCGCTACTTATTTGTTTTAAGCGTCAAAAAAGGAATGGAATTTTTTAAATTCAAGCAAAATTTAGTTGAAAAAAACGGAAGGTAACTGCTATTACATATTTATCTGCTACTTGGGCTAGCTCTCTCGATGAAAATATGCAATAATGTAAGCTGGATGACGCTGCACATAAATGCTAAACTTGAAAATGATTGTATAATTTGAACGGTGAAAAGGTTACAGTTGCTTACTTTTTGAAGTGGGGTCATATTTACTAGCAATACTATTTCTTTTGTTGGAGGCAATTGTAAATTGACCTCAGTTTTTGACCGGCAAAGTATAAAAGGATGGATGATTTGATGAAGTTTTGTGATTAAAGAATTTTTTTTAAAGAACTATTTCTGCAGCGATCAAACGGTTCTGACCAGATACATTGCAAAGAGTAGCAGGATCAGACCAACTCTGTTGAAAATAACAGAATGATATGAAACACTACGAAGCATGAACCGATTTCTTCATTAATAGAAAATAAGTCATTAATTACAACACCATTTCCGATCAGACTTAGAAATATCGATTGAGTCATAAAAGAAGGAAGATTTCAGCGAACACTTCTCCAGCTATATGTTTCCCAAAAGTTGTAAAATCTCATTTAAATATAATCAGTGTGCACATTCAACGGTAAAAATGTAAACATGGTTTGTTAAACAATGTTCTTAGTAGGTAGTCATTTGAAAATAAAATAGGACTGAAAGTTACATAAGCAAGAAAATAATTGACAAAGTAAGTATGAGTTGAGATCTAGTACTGAAGAATATGTAACTTGATTGGTCATTTCGTGAGTATATGCATGTAGGTTGAACCTGATTCGTTGACTTTTTACTTCTAACACGTGATAAATATCCACGCACAATCGATTACGTCACTTCCTTGTGAAGACCCGATGCACTTATAACAACGCCCAGCATGACATTTAAATGTTTGCCAACTAAAACCCCAGATCAAAGGAAACCTCACTTCTACACGTTCACACACTGGGCCACAAATATTCGTCACAATTTCTAGACCATCTAGGCACCAAGCACTTCTACATTTCTGATGATGGTAGAACTTCGCCGGAAGACGAGCTTTCATCCCAGAGCAGCTAATCTTCATTTATGAATGTTTGCGACGACATACATCACTAACCAGCCTGAGGTACAACTCACCATTCAACACAATACTGTTAGGAAACAGCACAGCAAAATAGACGAAGAATGCTCCTTTCAGCAATCTTAGAGGCTCAATGTTGGCTACCAAATACCAACACAAGATACACATTGAAATTAACTATCTACAGCCAATTCTGGAAGAAGGAAACTTCAGCACACTGACCGAAGCCATACGTATCACCGCCGAAACAAAAAGAGAAGACAGCTAAGAGAAACTTGGTATGAAACTAGAAAAGCCATCGGCTACACCAAACAACAAGGCCCGAGACGATAAGGTAGCGAACCTCCTTTCTAGACCACTCTTAGTTTCAAATAAAGCTTTGTTAGAAAGAGGACTACATTTCAACACAAGTGATGAGACCAACCATCCCTGCAAATCTCACGAACGGTGAAAAACAAGGAATTCATGAAATAATAGCTCCTAATGATGAGACTCGAATGCCAGGAACTCCAGCACACAAGCTGCCACAATATTTAGCAGAAAAACTGTACCGCCTCATTAAAAAGCAATCAAATCAGTTAACCCAATTCTCAACCAAAGCCAAAATATTAAAATATGTGAAAAACAATGATCCCCTTCGATATCAAACCCCATTTTACATCGATATATCTCAAGCCTCCAAGAATAACTATCATAAATATACTCCAAAATGATGATCAAGCCTATACTAGTATAAGAATGCCAGAAATAATGAATTTAACTGTTATCTACCTGTGCTCATACTTTCAATCCAATGGAGAGATATCTGAACAAACGATAGGAACCCAAGTGGGATCACTAATCTCTGGATTCATTGCAGAAGTAGTAATGCAAAGACTGGAATTGATAATCTTGTTGATCATTATGCCGAAGTTGTGGGTGCAATACGTGGACTACACATTCGTCTTTTTTAGTAAAAAGGATGTTAAACTCACTGAAAAACTAATCAATAATGTTTTCAAAACAAATGTATTCTCGAAAGAAAACGGTAGACAACTAGCATTCTTAGAAATCATGATTACAAAAAGTGAACATAGACATCTTGGAACTCAATTGTACAGGAAAGCAACTCGTAAACATCAGAGCCTAAACATGAACAGCAATAATTCGTTGTCATACAAAAATGCGGTATAACAACTCTATTTAGATGATCAGACATTGCAGTGAAACCAAGTTTAAGAAAAAAAATTTGCTCCAAATCTTTCAACTCAACAGCTATTTTAAAAGATACCTAAGGTATAACTTATTTTTTATGTTCATTAATACATCTATAACGAAGTTAAACGAAAATTGCGACAGCGTGCATCCCTGCCAGAGGCCACTAGTTTTCGTTTATACAGATGAGAACTCTCTCCAAGCCTTTTTGCAGCAGTAAGTTTCAGTAGAGAGCTTTGATTAGTGACACAAAACCTCATGGTTGAGAGGATCAACCACCCCCTTCATGTCAAGAAACATGGCACCGGTAAGCATGCATTCCATAACCTGACGATGGATAAAGATTTGGTGGAAGCATCGTTTTGAAGGTCTAAAACCTGCCTCTTTTTCCTAAGTCTGATGTTTTCGAGCTTCAGCTAGGAAAAATTTTTTGGGTCTTAAGATTTAAATCATCATTCTTGAAATCGGAGTACAAACGTGTTCTGTTCGTGAATAATTCTAACAACCACATATGATGTTACATTTGCAGTTAACAAGGACATAAGACGACCTAATTTTTCCAAAAAGCTGCTTAAACTGGTCGTTATTGTCGGTGTTGGTAAGTAGGTATTGAGATGCAGTATGACCCTCATTATGTACTAAAACGTATGAACTGTGTAACTCGAAATCCATCAAGTTAGTTGAAACTCCTAATAATAAGTAACCATCTATGAAAAAATTGTTACTCGGCGAATTCATGTAACAGCTGGATTTAGTACCGCTATACTTTCTGATCTTCCCTATACTGCAAGCTTATAAGTTCTCAGGATATATAGGTTGTCTAGTTTGTGTTCCTAAGATGTCAGGCACCACTGGCTGGATAACTTTACTGACACTACCTAAAATCGATCACAGTAGCACTGTCGATCTCCTTCAAAATTTGGAACACCATACTAACATTTATTTATATATTTATTTTCTGTCCCCATCATACACTTGTGTGTACTTTAATATCGATTCTTCTCCATTTGCTTCCTAACTGCAGATGGCAACTTGAACTGTCCCACAGTTACAAATTTATAACTTGGGTAGTGGGGTAGGATGCAATTTTACATTGTATTTGTTTATTTATTATAGATCATAGTGTGATACAGTATTATTTACTGGTTGACGCTTTGAAGCTGTGTGGTTACTGTGATATTACTATGAGTGAACAGTATATCATCCAGTAAATAATACTGTATTGCTGTGTCCTGTACTCGATAAACCAATCTAATATAGAGTTTAACTGATACATTTCCGTACCAGGTTCTGCATTGTTTCGCTACTTGTAAACCCATCTGGGTTTAAGTTAAAATGCTTGGTAGATGTTAAGGCATTTCAAACAGACTGAATACCATAAAAAGAAAGAAATGGTTAGCTTAAAATAAATTGGAAAAAATATGCACCAGAGATAGTACTGATGAAAAACAGAAAAATATCTAACTAACTGCTAACATTTCCAGCGAGGTGGATATCTCGGGTGATATGAAACGCAGTAGTGACCAGAGTTCAGACAGATGATTTTGTAAAGGCGTCCCTGTCACGAGCAGACGTAAGCCAGCCGTAAATTTGACCAATCATCTGTACAGCTTCAATAAAGAGTTTTCACTCTATGTCCCTCGTCAATTATCACAGCCTAAGCAACCGCATAAAAAATGTTGTAGTAAAATGTCATTTAGAATAATACAATAATGACTAGGCAATCAGTGAATGTAATGAAAACTTACAGTCAAACACTGAATGAATAGTTGTCATAAGTTGAGCTCGGGTGATAATTTCCGTCCGTTTGCAGTAACAGCAGCCAGAAGAATCGGCGCACAGCTTTTTCTAACAAGTCAGCAAGAAGATTCATGAGAGCCAGTGACAACGTACAGGTTAAAATACCTTTTTCTGATGAACATCTTGCAGTTTATGATAACATCCAGTTGTTTACACTGTGATAGGCAGGAAGGAGTTTTAAAATATAGACTTGGTGTTTAGACATGTAGTGAACAACCACTTAAGACACAAAATAATTGCTCCGACTACTATTTTGTAGCACAGCTTCAAATCTTGGTTGATCATTGAAGGGTCACTAACTCAATGTTGTCTATTTTAGTCTGTTTATTAGAAATGTCACACAGTGTAACAGTATAGTTTACTGGATAAAGTTTCGGATAATTTATTTTTCATATCCATATCAAGATGACTACACAACTTTGAAATATTCTTTATATAGTCCTAATTTCCTCACCTCATTTATGACATGGATAGTAAGCTTTTGCATATATCCGGAGCACTTGCTGAGTCATTCCTGTTGCATATATTAAGTGTTGATTCGATAAACAAAGATTCAGTTAGTATAATTGTTTTTATTGTTTTTACTCCCCTGCTGTTGAATGGAACGTTTTTTAAGTAACTGTAATCCCGAATAGCCCCATCAAATATTGTTAAAACGATTGGGCAAGTCGCTAAACCGGATGAACTGATCGCCTTAAATTTATCATGAACAATATTCACAGTCCCTTAAATTTTTATCATATGACTGCGTTCTTGGCTGAAATTTCTGATGTAGACTGGAACAGTGTTTTATATCATTATTCTCAACTGTTATATGTACCTTTTGAGATGATGGGTCGTTTCCGCATTTTGTGCCACTTGTAGAGGTATTGTCTGTAAGTTTTGTATTGCTTGAAGTTTTTGCCAATTCATAATTCTTAGTTAGATCCAATTTTTTATCTTGATATTCATTATTAACTTGAGTAGTTACATCATCTACTTGAGATAAAGCTAACAGTTTATCTGGGGTTTGTGTAGTAGAGATTACTGCTTATTTGGAAGAGCTGGTACAGTTACTATCACATGCACCTAAATCTTCATCCTTTGTGAAGAAGTTCTCATCAGCTGGAATGCTAGATATGGATTTAGATGACGCTATATCGTAAATCTTTGGGGTATAGCAGCAAATTTGAGGGTACTTTGATCGTTGTTATTTTTAGATATTACTGCAAAGTTGACCCGTTTCTCAGAATTTTCTAGGAGAGAACTGGGTTTTGCTTCACGTATACAGCTGCCTTTTGAATTGGGACTTGAGTTCAATGGGAAGACTGTGATATTGTGGTTTTCCGCATTGGAAAGAAGCATACCGATATTCATCTTTTCAATTTGGTCACAAAAAGTAAGTTCTTGAACTGTGTTAACTGCCCCACAAAATTTATCCATAACCAGATTTTCAGTACCAATACTCTTGGAGAATTCATCTTCAGAATTTAGTCGTTGAACATTAGTATATTTGAGGGTTCTGTTAGGCGACATCTCCAAAATACTTTTACCATTCTTGTCTACACAATGAAGGTTTTGGACAGCCGGTGTTGACAGTGTTTCACGTACATCCACATATAAATTCAAATTTGCTTCTTTCGTCTTATCTAATTACCAACTTTGAATTTCAAAATATGTTTCATTTTCATAACTTTTTCTGGCTGTGAAAATGGAAGTGAAATTCGTATTTAATGCTTTGTCATTTTCATTATCAGGACGTACGAATACTTCGGAAATAACATTGTCTAAGTTATCTAGTAAAGTGATTTTATCTTTACAAATCTGCGAACCACTTGCTTTATCTTTTTTCACTCTTCTTCGCTCTGAAACTGAAGAGATTCTTAGTGATGAGCAAGAACTAGCAGAAGGGGAAACAGAGGAGACGTCTTTATTGGACTCTGAGTGATACGAGGTCGTCAAACAAGTTGAATTACTACTAACACTAAAAAAGACCGTGGTTACGTAGCTCTGTGGTACATCTTGTTTCAAAAATGAGTGGTGATCTTGTGAAGTTTGAAATAAGGATTTGAATAGATGGACTTTTATAGGTTCTTTTAGAGATGTGTGGATGCGTTTAAATATATTTTTCGTGAGCCCTATATGTTCCTTTAGTATTCCATAGTAAACTACACATGGAAGCCTGGGTGCAAAAGTCGCTAATTGATCAGCCCAAACAGATACTAACGATAAAGAAGAAATGACCAAGAACGGGACACAAACACCGGACTCAATCAAGTCAGCTAAACCGGCAGTAACCTGAAAAGTACAATGAAGAAGTACTTATCTTAGAACTTTTGCAAAAATAAAACAACTATATATGTCATAAAAAAGTTACCTATTTTAAATCCCAAAACCTATATATATTTATAACTTGTCGGTCATAAGTATGTGCCATGAAAGACAGCGTAGAATCTAGTGCAGCACTAAGTTGGTTCAAGTTGGCATGCTTCAAAACACTGCGAAAATTTGAGGACATCTATGTTAGCGGAGAAATATTCAGGTCAGTGTTGTCATGAATACCCTGTAAAGTGAAAATGGTTGCACTCCCGTGACTAATCAATACATGTAAGCCAGTCATACAGGAGGTCAGTCGCGGCCCGAATAGCTCAGTGGTAAAGTCGCTGACTACAACACTGGGTGACGCGGGTTCAAATCTCAGGCGGGACATCATTTCCTTCGGGGTTGCAGATACGCCTTGCTGACGAATGCGAAAAAGCACGAGACTTAGGTCCAGGGCTTCCTGCCGATTGCCTGCAACCAACTAACATCTACTAATGTGCACCGCGATGCTGAGGTTCCTAGCTTGGTTGCCACATTGCGAATATGATCGATAGAATTCTGTCTGCACTCAAGACTAGACAACATGAAATTGGTTGCACTCCTGTGACCAATCAATACACCCTGTAAAATCCGCTCTCATCTTGTGACAGGTTGAAATTATATCAAAAACTTCTTTTGGCTTACATTAACTGTTATCATTTGATTATAATTAAAGACTTTCGCTCAGTAAGATTTGAAACAAACTTGAAACTAGTTTGTAAAGTAAATATTGGATAATAAAAATCAAGACCCTCAATCCTACAAACAAGTTCCAAAATATTTATCATCCTTCATATCGAGATTTCGGTTGAGAATAAAAGATTGCATAGAGGAAGTATTAGAAAAGAGACTTAAGACAAAGATGCTTAGTACAGAGTGAATAATTTACAACACAAATACGTCATTATTCAGAAAGTATCTTTCTCATGAAAAGTGAAAGCAGCGCAGCAAATACACAGAATCCTTTCGGACTACTATCTTTAGCAACAGGATTAAGTCACTAATATTTTGTTGGAGTGTAGTAATACATATGCCTGGCACTGATAGGTTTTCTGTGCGTGGTTATCTAGTAGTTTTAGCATTTAACAAAAGTAACGATCATACATTATGATATAAGATACTTTTAACAACTTTACGCTACTTACCCTATCCCTTGGGTGACGGATATTAAGGGATTCACATTACTATCTATTCTATATAACGTCAAACTCTAAACAAGAAACAAATAACGACGGTTGAAGACTCGTAAGTGGTCAGATGTATTCGTCTTTTATTGCCTGTCTCTTTGAGTGTTTTTCTTGTTTGTATCAACTGTGTTTTACTTCCTTTTCCTCCAGTGTAACGAACTATGCTAAGATGACCACATACATTTTTGCAAGGTTCTACATCAATTTTTCCTGCCAGCTTATGTAGATATTAGAAACAATAAAATAACCTTACAACTATTTCATCATGTAAAAGTAATGGGCAAAATGAAGTGGTTAAAGAGGCCAATGTGATCTGAACTTTACATCTGGCCTAACGACTAACAGACAAATTAACGAAGAACCTAATATAGAAGGGCATCGAATTGTTAGCAATACTTAGAGAGGAAGCAGAAAAGAAGAGGATGTTATTGAAGAAAAAAAAGCATATGATGAGAGGATAGATTAGTGAAGGCAAGTAAAATGCTCATAATTATAGGCGATGGAGAGTGAATGAACCGGAGCCAGCACAACCGATTTTATAGTAGTATCCATGCCATTTTCCAGTAAGCTATTTCGTGACCAGGTTGCCTAAATGTTTCTACACAGCCCAAACTAAGAACTATAGATTTATAAACTGGTGTTATGTTTTGGTCCGGAAGTAATTAGATTTCCTCTAATCTAATCGTATTTCGGTCAACATTGCACATTGAAGGCGGTGGTCAGTCAGTATGTGGTACACATATCCAGGCAACCTCAAACGGTACATATTCAAAAAGCTACTAACAGGCATAAAGTAAATCGATCTATGCATAGCTACCGCTTCTTTGAATTTCGAATAAATCACTTCTAAGTCTTTCTACAGACCTTTTATAATGGCTTTTAGTGTAAAACGTGATACCTTAAAGATACAATATGAGGATTTTACCCACTTGTGAAACCAGTATCCTTAAAGAGGATCTAACGAAAGACTGAAAATTATAAAAGACATGACTACAAAAAAAGCTTGTAGCATGTAATAACGCAACTCAAAAGTTACCTACTAAGCTGAGATATGCATCCACTATATGAGAACTACCTATACAACATTTAAATTCGATAGGAATAGTGGGATTTAACAGTAGGTAACAGAATGATCCAAGTTTAACAAAACCTCCATGGTGATTACAGTTATTTAAGTCTACAAGGTTAAATGGTTTACAATACTGAGTGCAAAAATACTGAATTGAGCCTGGATATTTTTTCTTGGGAGAACATATGGTATTGTTAGTGACATAAGAGATAAACTTAGCTCATTCGTTATTCTAGTATGTGAGGAAACGAAGTAAAGCTCACTCGATAATTCTACATAAATGGGTTCATTGACTGTTTTCCAAGTAGGATCGGATTAGAAATGGGATCAGGGTGACTAGATCAAGATGTGAGCCAGTTTATGAAACTTTTCACTGTTAGAATAAGCCGTAAACCGCCTAGCTTAGGTCTTCGAATGAGTGTTTGGAGACTCTTGATGACATAGCTAAAAATCGGTTACTATGGAGCAGACGTACTCCCTATTTGACATCTTTCTGAGGTTGACCATTTTCTTTAACCTTCATTTCTTCATTCTTCTTCCATACAATTCTGTCTACTTTAATAATTTTCCTATCTACTCGTTCTTTGGGTGCTTCAGTAAAGCATACACTTTTGTGTCAAATTCCACGTTAATTTGCTTGCTTTTGTGTTCCTGAAAAATTGCTGGGACAATAATTACCTCTGGATTGATGTACAAGGCAGAAGAAGGAGGAAGTGGTAAAGATCTCATGAGCAGGCAATCAGACTTAACGAGTTCAGAAGCAATTTTTGTTCCTTTACTTAAGTTTCAGTATTAAACCTTACACGAAAAACTTTTACGGGTAAATCAAATGCTCAAGTGTGAAACCACATATACAATTTAGTCGGTATACGTTCACCAATAAGTACCCATATGGCTTTTCAAAATAATATATTTTACAGTTTACCTTCAAAAAGCAAAGCAGAAATGAAAGGCGTATTGAAAGTTAAAACATTCTATAAAAGGTTGGAAGTTGGAATCAAGTAAATGAGATCATGTACTAAATCTATCAAGAGTTTTTCTTGAAGAATAAGAATTGGACTTTTAGTGCTTTTATGGGTCATTTGTATTGTCAGAGACAGCACTCATTTGTCACATCAGACTCAAGAATGCTTGCAATTTTGTCGCCAAAAAGACAAGGGTATCTGCTGTGGAAATAATCGAAATCTCTTCCGGATGACACACATATGAATCCTTTTCCGATCACTTCGAATAAATATGTGACTAGTCTGTCATCCATTCAGTTGACTGTTATCTTGGATTTAAATTTTTTGTCCCTCATACAAAGCTTCCGAATTGGCGATTGATGCTTAGTTTAAATGTCTTTGTGATTAACGGAGTTCACTTGCTCCGACTTCTGAAAATCAAAGCTAACTGAAAGCCAAATATGTCGATATCATGCATGATTTCGGTAGCTCTGGTTTCAAACAGAGAATCATCCTGACTTTTGATTATTTCAACGCGTTGAAAAGACTACGGAACAGAAATAATATAGACATTTCTAAAAGCGAAAAAGGATCTGGCGTAACTGTTTTCAATATACTAGAATATAAAGACAAAATGTTATCCGTTTTCAATGACAAAAGCAAATTCATGGTAGAGCGTCGAATACAAGACATTGGAAAACTAGAAATAAATTAGCAAAGAGGAATTTCATTTGCTAGGAACTTGTAGCATCACACACTCAAACTTGTGTTGTTTACCCAAAATGCACAAAGCAAAGATCCCATTATGTTTAAAACTATCTATGTATTGCTCCCCAATGCATGAATCGGCTAAATGGCTAGCACAAGTGATAAGTACAGTTAGAAATCAAATATGTAAGTTCTCACTGAAAGATACTTCTAAACTTATTCATTCCCTAAATGACCCTAATATGAAGGATAAAACAATGCGTTCTT